TCGCTGCCAACGCAGTTCTTGCCTCCGGAACTGCGCCCGTCAGTTTTCCCCTCGCGGTGGGCTGTTGCGACGTAACATCGGAGAAATAGATCGACGATGAAGAGAAGGTGAACGGCTTGCGCCGGATGATCGGCGACCGGGACGCACGTCTAGAGGTGGATTGACAGGAACGGGATATCGCGGCTGAGTGGGCATGGTGGGCATGTAATGTGAAGCCCCTGCAATGTCGTGAGAAGGGAAGCTGCGACGATGGCAGTGACGAGCTACGTGGCCTGGGATGCCACATGAAAAACATATCGGCCGATTATCTGGAGTGCGCCATTGTCTGACGATAGGGGCACTGTTCGCTGAATAAGGTACCGTAAATGGTCGTGCAGGCGGCGGCGTCATATAAACGTTCTGACCTGTTTCATATACAGCCGGAGACGGGACGGTCAGCGAGCGGGAAGGTGGGGTCGACAAATAAACGTGGCGAGTAGCTTCGTAGATGGCCGGAGATGCTGGCGCACGTGGTTGAGCAACTGCGGCTGCATACGTTAGTGGTGCGGTAACAGTTGGGGGAGCCTCAGCTGGCGGCAATGCTTCGGCAACTTGCGATCGAATGACCTGGTGAAGCGAAGGCGACAAGGGTGCCATCGCCTCGGTAGTTCTTGTGATAATAGATAGCTGCCGGGCGACCTCCTCGCGTATGAATTGCTTATGACAGGCATCAATGCAGAGTGGTCGGCGGTGTCATGGCGATAGTCGAGGGATGAGATGTCCGCGGTGCCTTGAGCAGAGCAACGTGTAGAAGCGCGCTGCCTACGGAGCTCATCATAGCTTTGGCAGAGCTGAATCACCTAGGCGACCGTCTGGGGACTCTTCGCAGCCAGCATTTGGAATGCACCGTCGTCGATTCCTTTCATGATGTTCTTGATCTTGCCTGCCTCGTCCAGAGTCGAATCGACGAGCTTGCAGAGAAATAGCACATCTTCGATGTAGCTCGTGAAAGTTTCAACTGCTCTCTGTACTCTGCCCCGCAAGCGCTGTTCAGCACGAAGGCGGCGGACAGCAGAACGGCCAAAGACTTCCGCGAGGGTTTTCACCAATTCCGACCAGGTACTGAAATCACTTTGATGATTTCTGTATCATAGTTTTGCCACGTCGGTCAGGTAAAAACTCACATTTGTGAGCTTATCGGCTGCGTTCCACTTATTGACGGCGCTCACCAGTTCATACTCGGCAATCCAGTTGTCCACATCTTGGTCCTCTGTGCCACCAAATATGAGGGGGTCGCGCTGCCGGAGAGCGCCAGCGCAGAAGACAGGCACAGGTGCGAGATCTGGAGTAGCAGCATGAGATGGCCCCGGATCAGTCATTGTAGGAGGTCGTTGGAGTGTGCGGCTGCGAAGTTCCAGGGTCAGGACCAGATGTGCCCAGCACTTCCACCACTTGAAACGGGTTGCTGACCAAGCAGGCGAACTCGGCGAAGGAGAGCTTTATTTAGCGCAAGGGCTAACTGAACGCAAGTCTGCGATCACAGCAAGTCTTCTTCTTTTTCTATCCTCGAGCTCCATGCCCACTACCCTCGTTACAAAACAACGTATAAACCACTACGCGCGCCCTCATGTGGCTCCTCTTCAGAGGCTTCAGTGCACTCCGTAGGCACCGCTTGCCGCTCATCACACTTTCCTATTCTAGCCACTGTACAGTAGAAGAGCTGCAAACAGGGAGCGGCAGCGGGTCAGTTGCGGAGCCGGATCAATAAGAGAGCCGCGAGTGGGTAGCGTTGGCGAGTCAGTTGCTGAGCGGGATCACTAGGAGAGCCGCGAGCGGGTAGGGGCGGCGGATCAGTTGTTGAGCCGGATCAATAAGAGAGCCGCGAGTGGGTAGCAGCGGCGGGTCAGTTGCCGAGCCGGATCAATAGGAGAGCCGCGAGTGGGTAGCGGCGGCAGAAGGTTGCCGAGCCGGATCAAAAGAAGAGCCGCGAGTGGGTAGCGGCGGCGGACAGTTGCCACGCCAGATCAGTAGGAGAGCCGCCAGTGGGTAGCGGTGGCGGATCAGTTACTGAGCCGGATCAATAGGAGAGCCGTGAGTGGGTAGCGGCAGCGGGTCAGTTGCCGAGCCGGATCAACAGGAGAGCTGCGAGCGGGTATTGGTGGCGGGTCAGTTGCTGAGCAGGATCAATAGGAGAGCCGCGAGCGGGTAGTTGCGGCCGATTAGTTGCGGAGCCAGATCAATGGAAGAGCCGCGAGTGGGTAGCATCGGTGGATCAGTTGCTGAGCCGGATCAATAGGAGAGCCACGAGCGGGTAGCGGTGGCGGGTTCGTTGGTGAGCCCGATCAATTGGAGAGCCGCGAGCGGGTAGTGGCGGCGGATCAGTTGCCGAGCCGGATCAATAGGAGAGCCGCGAGCGGGTAGCGGCGGCGGATCAGTTGCTGAGCCGGATCAATAGGAGAGCCGCGAGTGGGTAGTGGGCGGCGGGTCAGTTGCCGAGCCGTATCTGTAGGAGAACTGCGAGTGAGTGGCAGCGGCGGGTCAGTTGCCGAGCCTGATCATTAAGAGAACCGCGAGCGAGTGGCGACGGCGGGTCCGTTTCCGAGCCGGATCAGTAGGAGAACCGCGAGTGGGTAGCGTCGGCGGACAGTTGCCGAGCCGGATCAGTAGGAGAGCCGTGAGCTGGTAATGCCGGCACGTCCGTCAGTTGGCTTCACGGTGAGCCGAAAAAGCGCAGCTCACTTTTACAGAACCGCGCATCACTTGTTTTTTAAGAAGAGGTGCTTAAAAGATCCGACTCCCTTCTCAGTGACCCATCTCTACTGAATGGTCTCTCGTGGATTCCGCATCAAATCTATGAAGAGCTTCTGCTTCTACGCTCGCGTCAGAAAAGGATTTTTTGAGGCAGCGTTGAGCTAAGCTCCTAACGTACCTTCATGGGAGGCCTCAGCGTGGCCATTTAAACCTGCTGGTTTCTCCTAAAGTTTATTCTTCTTCCTCTGTATGGGGTAGTGTACGTAGGAACACTCGCGTTATTTTATCCAAGAAGCTGGTCACAGCTTTGTTCGGGAGTTGCACCCACGTCGTCAGCAACCTCACGCCCCTTCCGCTTCGATTGACGCTAGTGAGCATCTGCAGGAATGTGGTTTAAAAGAGCTCTAAAGTAGAAAGTGCTGACTGCTAATTTTCAAGTCATGTCCCAGCTGTTTGTTCCAGGTATATTTACACGTGGTGCAGCTCGGCTCGCGAGTTCCAATTGTTGAACGTTGAGGCCCTTGTGAACGTCTCAAACCAGCTTCCGGAGTCTTCATATGAGGAAACAAAAAAGGTCGGTGGATCTCTCGTCGGCTGCATCACAATCACTAATCGCGTCACGATCAATGACACTGTGGCAGCTGTTGTGCCTGTTGTCTTTGTCGCTATGGCTTTTATCATGTCCTATAGGAGTCCGTATTGGGTTGTAGTTCTTTCAGCCTGCAGCTGGCTCGACTGCCAGAGACTATGTCAGTATATTCTTAGTGAATTCAACTGTGTTCATGGTCTGAAGGGGAACGTCTGGATATGAACAAACAACACCTCCTACATGGGGTGATGAAATTGATGAAGGCAGAAGTGAGAATATCGAAGATGAGACTCTTTACTTGGAGAAGCTGTGACAGGTAAACGGAAAGGCATACTACAGCAAGCAACACACTGCACAGCGTCGGCTGTCGATAAAATGGTGCTCTTTGGGACGCACCGTCTTTAGCAAATCACACATCGAACTTTACATCACTTGTAATCGCGCAAGATCTGAAATACCTTTCAATTTTTGCGTCCTGCGCACAATCTTGACCAAACATTTACTGCAACGGTGAAACAGTTCGAATATTGAAGCGTGGTCTGCGCCTAGCACTCCTGACCGTCTTTGTGGGTGCAAGCAGAATAGAACGAAATTCAAACAAAAAAAACGTATGTGTCAATATTCCGCTTTTAGGTAACAGTAAAATATTGAAAGTAAAAGTAGCGCCCATTTGTCTTATGCGCTTATTTAAGGTGTAATCGCTTCGTTGTGCGTGTAAAAATTATTGGTCCGGCATTATCGAATGTAACAAAGGTGTTTTAGGAGTGCAGCGTTATCCACGAAGTGTGAAGGCGTTCATTGAATGCTGGCGAGAGAGTCTGCTGGTAGCTTTACCAAAATCTCAGTTCTCGAAATCCGAGAGCGAGTGGCATTCACAAGCAATGCGCGGTAAAGGCAGAGGCGCTAGATATTGCTGGAAAAGTTGACGCACCATAGAGTTTTTTTGCAATTTGCTACACATGCTTTATATTTTAAAGATTTATTATGCTTATTTCTACCTTACATATGATGCCACTTGCTCTAGCAAATTATCCGTGTTCCAACAGTAAATGTAATAACTGTCACTGAAGATTATCCTAAAGCTTTTCTGCGATAATTTGCCAGGTCTGAACACATGCATCCTATTTTTATACAATAAGAATGCTTTCAATCTCGCATTCAGAGAGTTTCTTGGTTTTTATTCATGAATATTGCTACTTTAACAGGAAAGTGCCAAAGTTCTGAGTGAACAAACGCTTCTGAATTCACTCTCGCTCTCCTTGAGCTTTTCTCTCAGACATTGCCAGGCTTGAACCTATGGTCTGGCACTGCCCCACGGGTTTTGTGTGAACCATAATTCGCGGCGCACAAGTGTCTGTCGTGTTACGCAGTTTGAAGTTCAGCAGCACACTTACGGCCGCGATGCACAGAATCAGAAGTTCAACGGTGCGCGATGTCACGGTAGTGTTCAGCTAATCTGTCCCTACGTGCGAGCAGTTCTCTATGAGCTAGTTCATCGCACGAAGGGCGTAAATAACGTTTTTCATTTCATTGTTTTCCCTATACTGTCTGGTGTGCAATTTTAATCTTTCGTCATAGTAAAGGCCCGAAGCAAACGCTCATTTTGATTCACTTAAAATAAATTAATGAAAGGCTATTGAGTTTCATTTTTGCATAATAGAAGAAAATGAAATGAGCTCACTGCAGTCTCATTCGTCATGAAGTGTATCTCGTGGTGAATTCCAAGGCTTGTATTTTCATTCTTTTGGGATGTCCAACACAAGCGGTAGTCTCTCATTGGTCCACCGAGACCATAAGATAGGACCAAGCGTTCCGTGGAATTTAACAGCTGCATTTAAAGAAATAATGGGTATATCAAAACAAAGTATTCTGTTTTTGTCTACGACTGTGCTAACTACACTCTAAGGCAAAATTACCCAAAAAAAGAGTAACAGAGCCCAATTTGCGCGCGCGATGAACAAATAGACCGTTGAGGAGAAACCACAGAGGGAAGCATGCGGCGCGAAACCCCTTAGTCTCCAACAACCCGGGGATTGCAGGCAGCGCAAAAAGCGTTGCCAGGGTGACTAGCCCTCCTTCTTCACAAAACACATGTCCTTCTCCCCCTCTGTTGGCTCAGTCTTTCTCCGTATTTTGCCGGCGATGGTTCGCGGTGCGTCACGCTCAGAGTGCTCGACCATGGCCGCCTGGATTCGACGATCTAAGAATTACGACGTGGTGCTTGTGTGTGCGCTTGGATGAGCGTGGGCTGCTGCTTTTGCGTTTCGCTGCACCCATGAAGTCTGGAGCAAGCCTCGACACGTCGCCACGCCGCGCTGTATATCTCTGGCCTCAAGATAGTCACGACCAACACAGGACAGCAACAGTTGGGGAGGCGAGAAGTAAACAGGCCTATCGGATATGTACTTCAGTCTGAATCAGGACAGAAAACAGCGCTGGATTCTATGCCAAATAGGTTGTCATTCTTTATTCTACTCTACTTGTTGTGTGTGCGATACGGATCGCTCTTGCCGGCAACGTGCTCGGTCGTGTTGTATATCGCACGCACGAAATGCATCGCGAAGGTCAGCTTCGGCGTCTGCAGTTCGCCTGTGCTTTGCAACCGCCTATAAATTGGCCGCTATTGCCGTCGGCCTCCCGTACGCTCGCTCATCGAGTGCTCGCCTGTCTTCGCCGCCACGATGAGCTCCGGGCTGACGATATTGGGCTGAGACCTCGTCGCTGTGTTGAGAGTCGTCGAAAACACGCGGGGGGTTCTCGTAAAGAGCTTGGTTGTAGTATGTCGCGCGCTGTAAGTGCACCAGCACGGGCTGACGGGGCTTTCGGTAGCGTCGGAACTCACTGAAAATTGGTCGCCATTACAGTCGGTCGCAAGCAGCTCGGCGCCATCCGCTGGCCGCGGCGGCGGACTTGCCTTCGCGCGCTGCACTCGCTCGTGCTTGTGGAAAAGGGCTGCATTACCGCCTATTTCTTCGGCGCTAGCTCCAAACCAGCTCGGCGCTGTTCGTGGTGGCGATCAAGCGTACGCTCGCTCTCCTGTTCGAAGTTCGCTGGCGGCAGACACTCCGCTTGCAACGCCGTGTTCGGTCTCACGTTCGCTTGCTCAAGCTGAACGATGTCGCTCGCTTAGGACTCGCTGACTTGTTAGCGGCACGGTGTTTCGCGGAGTTGTGGCTGCGGCCGCCGCTCCTAAGCGGTTGGCCTACGGGGATCGAAAGGAGTCGATGATGTGTGTCATAACGGTGAAATTATTAGCATGTCTATATACACGTATGTTTTCATTTCACTTTGCACGTATTTCTCATATGCATTCGTTTTCATCCTCTGTAACGAGTGACTCACTATTTTACATGCTCATTGAGCAGCCGTGGGCACACACCATGCTGTGAAGGCCGTGTGCGCTGGAGTCTGCGGTGCCTGCCATCCACCTCTTTCTTCAGGGCAGCTTCAGAAGGACTGTGCGAGATGTGAAGGTAAAGTTATTTCTGTGTCATATTGTTACTTGATTTCGGCTGACTTGAACAGGGCATAGTGGGACATACCCAAGAGAGGTGCCTCGGACTGAGGGTGAAAAAGTGGACGTTGTCGGTGAGATGCGTTGAGGCTGTAGACTGACTACTGTTATTTTCCACATAACAAATTTGATGGAAGTGCTGGGTGCTCTTCTGACAACGGTGCTACGCAGTGGACGCCTCCTTAAGTCTGCTACTATGGCTCTGGGTGAGGATACGGCTTCGCCACCTACCTAAGCGACGACAGCAACCCGGTACGTCGCCCTAACACACCCCGTGATCCCGGTAATTTTACTGGAGAGGAAAACGCGAATGTGGACAAGTGGCTTAGTATGTACGAGCGCGTCAGCAAGCAATATGGCTGGGAACCAACCGTTATGCTTGCGAATGTCATTTTCTATCTTGACAAGACCCCTCGCATCTGGTTTGAGATTCATGAGCACGAAATCACAAGCTGGGAAATGTTTAAACAACAGCTCCGTGACCTCTTTGGCAACCCGTTTGATCAACAGCTTGATGCCCGAAAGCAATTGGCCGTACGTACACAGACGTCCACTGAGCCCTACTTGACTTATATTCAAGACGTCTTAGCGTTGTGTCAAAGGGCCGATCCCAACATGGCTGAGGCCGACAAGATTTCGCAAGTTTTAAAAGGAATCGCCGACGATGCGTTCAGCCTGCTTGTATTTAACAACGTAACGACCATCGACGCCGTGATCAAAGAGTGTCGCCGTCTCTAGCAGGCGAACAGTCGACGCATTTTGCAGCAGTTCCAGCGCTTACCCAACACCGCGGCAACGTCGTCTTGCGAAGCCACTTTTTGTCATCCGTCTATGACCGAAGACGTGACGCGTATCGTCCGACGTGAACTCGAGGCCCCTTACCCGGCTGCCAACAAACCGACGTTGCCCGACGCCTCAACGCCAGCTGTCGCCTGGATCCAGGCTGTTGTCCGCCAGGAATTCGCTAACCTTGGTATCCTGTCCACTGTGCCCACCCTGGATAATACTGGTCCCTTGATAGCTTCTATGGACATGAGACATCGCCCTTTGTACTCTATTCGAACCAGGAACCCATCTGAATGGCGAACAGCTGATGATAAGGCAATCTGCTTCCGCTGTGGTCGCGCAGGACACATCGCTCATTACTGCCGCAGCCAATGGCCATCTATGTCTTCTGGCTCTTACCCCACTTACAGTAACTCATTCCGTTCACCAAACCGCCGTTATCCGACCCGCACTGAGTGTACAGCATTTACTGCCCCTGAGGACTACGGCCACCCTGTCCCGTCGTCACCACCACCTCAATGTCGCCCTTCTCGTTCAAATACGCGTTGCCGCTCTCCCTCGCCAGCGTTTAACCGCTGCATGTCCCCGGAAAACTAGGCTACGCAGCTTCTGGAGGTGAAGCTGCCTTGTCGACCTTACCCAAAAATCCTCTGTTGCCCTTACGTTTGAACCGGAACACCCTAGAAGTATATGTTTGCTGTAACCCATTGAACGACGCGACCCAAGCTCTCAAGTGCGCATGTGCACAATCTTATCCCCCTTCCCTCTCCCCCTTACTTTCCTATATATATTCACGAGTGTGAATAAAACAGGCGGTTCTTTTCTGTTGGCATGGTCCGACTGTCACGTTTACTGCTGGAGCGGCGTGGCCGCCTCCCAACTAACAGTGGCGACGAGAATACCCACCGATACGTGTAAGCCGGGCGCCAGCGGCGAGACCAAGACGAAGACGCCCATCAGCCCGCCCGCAGCCATGGCCCTCAAGCTTCCGGATTTTGCAGAGGAGACAGATAAGTGGCAAGCGTATCTCGTTAAGATTGACGCCTACTTCGAAGCGAACGAAGTTACGGACGACGCGAAGAAAAGGGCCTTGTTGGTGGCTGCGTTAGGATCGAGGACCGTTGAAATCCTTTGCGGCAGAATCGCACCGCGAAAACCAAGCTCGCTGAGTTACGAAGAAGTTGTTTCAACCTTGAACGAGCACTATGATCCGTCCCCTAACGAGATATCAGAAAGCTTCAAGTTCTTTCACCGAAACCAACAAGAAGGGGAGTCCGTGCAGGCGTTTACCGTCGAGATTCGCAAACTAGCGCATAACTGCAGCTTCTCTTCAATGTTGGAGCGAATGCTGAGGGACCGCATCGTTTGTGGAGTGCGCTCGAAAAACCTGCAGAAACAACTATTAGCCAAAAAGGACTTGACGCTGGCAGAAGCGGAAGCACTAGCTCTAGCAGCCGAAAGCGCGGAGTTAGGGTCGCAACAGATGACCGGGCAAGGTGACGCCGTTGGGGTGTTCAACGTGCAGCGTAGCAGGCAACCCGAAATCAGCAGGAGCGAACGGAGCAGCTTATCGCAGCACTGCAGCTGCTGTGGCAAACAGAGACATCAAGCCAGGGAATGCTCATTACGACGGCGCAGGTGCTACAAATGTGGGCGACAAGGTCACTTGGCGCGAGTATGCTCCCGGACAGCCACCACCAACAGAACCTTCGCGATAACAGAGTGTTCAGCGGAAAGTGAAGATAACGATTGTAACGCACTACAAATATGGTCAGTGAAGGGTAATGGAAGCCTGGTTCCGCCCCTACACAAGCAGGTTACATGGAACGGAGTGCCACTGAATATGATAATCGACACAGGTTCACCTGTCTGCGTAGTGCCTAAAGCGATATACGAAGCCTATCGTCATAAGTGGCCACCGCTTTGTAAAGCTGCATTAACTCTGTCATGCTATCTTGGGAAGATACCAGTGCGGGGCATTGTCAAAATGCAAGCTTCCTACAAGTCTGCAACAGTTGACTGCGATCTCGTTGTGTTAGACTGCGAAGGTCCTAGCCTTTGCGGCCGTGACCTGTTACAGATGCTCGAGACACAAGGGGCACCGCTTCTTCACATCGCGTCACTCTCATCGGACGGGAAGCTGGAGAGTCGGACAGCGGCACCCGTGCTGGAACAGTACGCAGACCTTTTTGCGGAGGGCCTGGGAGCCATCAAGGGACCACCAGCACGGCTTCATATAAAGGACGGAGCAACCCCAAGGTTCTGTAAGGCAAGAAAAATTCCATTTTCTTTGCTAGACAAAGTGTCCGCCGAGCTAGATCGACTCGTGGCCGAAGGCATTATTACGCCAGTTTCCTATTCAGAATGGGCAACCCCGGTGGTGCCAGTGCTGAAACGTGACGGAACAGTCCGCATCTGTGGCGATTTCAAAGTTACTCTAAACCCAGTATGTGAAATGGAAAGTTATCCTCTACCCGTAGTGGACGACATTTTCGCTACGCTTCGTGGAGGGCAGCAGTTCAGTATCT